AATGGTTATGGCATAGAAAGTGCATTTTGAAGTGAAGCGCAATGAAACTGCAAATATTTGTTTTGCATCGCAGCTACAAAGTCGTCACATATAGTTGGCTTTATGGCGAATTACAGCTTGTGGAAACTTGGGCTACATATTCTTGGGCAGGGTCAGCCGTCACCTTGGACCGATTTCAAGAATTTCACATGCTTGCCCCTCTCCAAGAGTCTCGAAACGGACCCCTCCCCGCTTGATTTGTACCGTCCCTACCAGAAGCTTACATATAGGAAGTGCGATCTGCGAAAAATCGTAGGGCAACTAGCTTGAAATCAAAGACGAGCAGAAGGCGAGCTCCAGTAGTTCACCTAGTAGTAACTGGTAGTAGCAACCTAGTTGAATTTCGACCAAAAATCACGAACTTTGCCTTTAATTTTAAACTTCTAATGCGCTGAGCCTGAGCCTAGAACCTTATTCGTTTCTGTATATACTGTGTACCATTTCATCATTCCACGCATTGCGACGCTGACCTCTGTAAATACAGCCGCTCCCTCTCTCGTCTTCCAAATACGCCACCCCCCACGATAGACTTTGTCCAACGGACGGTTCAATATGAGTGTAACTTGTTCATTTACTTGCAAGGTCGAATGAAGAAAGTCAATCACATTAGGATTTAGATTGGGTTTACTCTAATTTCTATTTCTTGTGAGACCCGTAATTCTTTACTATCTGCAAATGTTTGCTGATCAAATCCTTGTGTCAAGGAATCGCATTGATGAAGTAAGTTTGTCAATTGTCAATAGCTCAACGGTGATCTCGTTGCCTTGCTAATTAGAGGGATTTTCTACACTTTTGTAACTCACCCTTTCCGTACTCGTCTTAAAAAGGTATTGTCAGTTATGGACTGCTCCATGTGTTCCTAAATGGACTTGCCTAGCTTAAGAGGATTGTGCGAACGATTGATCCGATGAGGAATCCACTACTGTGTATACGGCTTCGACTTCGTTGTTGGATCGACTGTTATGTCAGCTGGAAGTGCCATAAATCGTGCATCCTCGTATGATTTTTAGGGCGCAATGTGGCTCGGGGGGGGGGGCAGTCGCCGCGCGCGGCGTTGCGGCAACAGGAAATTCGTGAGCCAGGGGGAATGTAGCCAATTCAGGGGGTTGGGGGTGAGGGCAGTCACTTACATGCGTGAGAAGCTGGAATGTTCCGTGAGAAGCTGGAATGTTCGAGTTACACTACATCGCTGAGCCGCGCGCGGCGACTGCCCCCCCCCCCCGAGCCACATTGCGCCATTTTTAGTTTGCGTCTTTGTTTTTTTGGCTTTTTCACGTATTTGTAAGTTTCGAGTAATGTGTCTAAATGGATGGGGCTTCTTCTGAAGGTTGTCTCTAAGATCACAAGGCTATATTTGTGTTTTGATGAGACTCGTGAGGATGACGGTGTTAACCTATTGTGAAAGGGAGTAAATCGTTTTCGCGGGGGTATCGACTAGGCATGCTCGATGTGAAGAGTTTGGCAGCGTTGATAAGGATATCTCGTGTTGCGTTTTATGAGGAGTATGTCTATTTAGTCTTGTGAATGCTCCATTTCAGAAGCTGAAAATTGCGATATTGTGTTTCCACAGTTTCTGAACCGACACCTATTTGTTGTATAATTCCAGTGGCATTCCTAACAGACGAAAGTCTTTTAATATGGTCAACTTTTTGTTGAGTCGTAAGGAACTTTTGGCAGTGTTGGGAACTGTGAATTGATCTGAGCCAGTAGAGTGGATGGATTTGCTGAGTGGAATAAGCAAACTTCTTCTGTTTCAGCATATTTGTAAGTGCTGTCTT